TAATAGTTTAATTTTGTATCAGGTTGAAAATCAGTTACAAGTACATGCAATAAGTAGATTTAGGTTAACTTTGTTATAAAAATATAACCGGTAAGATAGAATAAATCTACATGTTATTTAGAAAGACTTTCAATAAAAGCATTAAACAAAATACCGCAATTATATTCTCTAGTCAGTGAAAATGATTGACAGTACAGCTAACTATTCGAATAGGTTAATAAATTATAACATTTTTTAAAAAAAAACATTGAAAGTTTAATTAAAATGTATCAAACAGCATCATTCATCCTCATACTATGTTATTTGACCTATTTTTGTGCCGTGTATGTTCCTTTCTTCATGTGGTCGGTTCAACATTATATCCTGCAGAGTTAAGGTCATCCATAAAAAACTAGTTTACAACATAGCGTTCCTTTAGATTCAACTAATTTGTTTCAATTCCTTTTATTTTATCGAAAGCCATTCAGTCCAAAAATGATTACGAAAAAAACTTTATAAAAAATGTCTGTACACAGTTTAGTTAGTACAGACTAACAATAACAAGTGGCCTTTTTGCTTTAAGTTATATGTAAAAGCGTTAGCCATTATCTGTACATCATTCATAGAGTTCATTTACATTAACCTTTCAACTTATTTGCCTAGTATTAAGGTCATAGAAATCTCTTTAGAGTAACCTCTGAACAGGCTCTAGATGCATTATGAAGCATTTTGTGACTTACTAACAATAATGTCCACTGAACACGATCGTCAAATTATACTGAAACCATTATCAGTAATGTTAAAGCTATATCAGTAAAAGGTAAGTACAGGTTGTCGAAACTTGATGTTTTTGTTTAACATCCTTTCAAAGTCATCCTGTTGACTTTTAAAAATCTCTTAATATGTATTCCTACCATTTAACAATTGACAAAACCTCACTCCGTTAAGTGAAGTCTCGTGTATTAAACGTTGTCAAGAGATCTTACACTAATTCGCTGTGCTAGTATTATCATGAAATACTTACAATGTTTTTTTCAAATTGGCTAGTGAATAACGAAAGCAAATATCTCAATCAAATATTGAGTAGTTACTGATCTTCAGAGTTTAAACAAGCAGGAATGTTGTTATATGAAAATGGATTTACAAAAATAGAAACTGACTACATAAGTCGTAATTCTAAAGCTGTATCATCGAATCAATTTAATGATTATTCATGTCTTAGTTCAATACTAAGCTGATAAATATGAATTAAAAAGTATTCAATAAAAGATTATCATATGATATATTCCTATTTATCGATTGATGTTTCATTGAAATATCGTATATCATCTTTAACAAATATTATTTTAATATTTGAAATCATGAGTCGATTAAAGTTAAACCACTATGGAAAACCTGGAACCACTGGATGGCCATTTCATCTTAGTACGGGACCCTTAGCAGTGCACATCCACAATCGAGAATGCGGGACTTGAATTTAAGATCTTTGATCTCTCACATGAACACTTAAATTCTGGACCACTGACCTGGCCAGTATCCAACGGTGTTGATGTCTAACTTCATCTAATTCACGAATTATTTTTCTATAATATATTATTCATTCAGTTCAAACTTGAAATAAAGTTTCGTAAAGAATCGTATTATATTTGTTAAATAACCCTACTGTAGTGAACAGAACACGGGGGGGGGGGACGATCGAATGTATTTAACACAAAATTACAGGACTTGCTAATAAAATCTAACAACCATATAGTGAATACTTGATTTGAAAAATGTCCATCAATTGTCTCAAAATGACTCAGACATCATTGTTCTTGCATTTTCATACAAATCGCATCCTATTTCCATTCTTTACTGTTCGATCCTCTTGTTTCTCTGCTTTCAGACCTTTTTGTTAACGACTAACATCATATACTACTTATGTCAATATAAGTAGCACACAACACACTACTATTAGATACTTGATTTCATCACTGACTATTCTTTCTAATTAGTAATGGATGTATTTGAGTACTTGGATGTTTTTTTTTATTTATTTAACTGAATAATACTATTTACTTGATCTAACTTACACAATGTTTGTTTACCTTTTTTTTTGGTGATGTTCATTTAACCAGTCTTTTTTTGTTGTATGTTACATTTATACTTATGTGTCACAACAAGTTAAGATAGATATTTGGATAAAATGTTTTTCTTATTTTTTCAAATAATTTAGAATATTTCTTTTTTGTATTTTTATATTGATAAATTTAAGATTGATAATCTCATCATAAACAATTTCTTTTATGAATGATTGATTCTAATCTCTATCAATCTAATTCATATTTAACTATGAAATGAATATAAACAGAAGTTTACGTGTTTTCAAATCAGTCATCTATAAGAAATGTCATAAAAAAAAATTAATACATTAAAACAAATGTATAAAGTTATTAGCTTAATTATATTATTATCGTTGAAATCTTTTCACAATAATGAAACTATGATGAATTAAATAGCTACAAAACAAAAAACCTCTTTGATTTAAAGTGAATTATGATTCATACCGTTTATTGTTCGAATCTGTATCTGTTAGTTTAACCTTAAACGATTATAGTTTTAAGTGTTTTAATTTAAAACTTAATCAAGTTAACATGGTTCAAAATAAAATAGAACAATTTTTGGCGAGACTCTAATTTATGAACGACCTTTGAACAAATCTCAAGCAACCTTGAGAAATATTAGCCAATCAGCAAACAGTCAGTATAGAGTAAAAATATATAATGAAAAAAACAAGGAAATAAAGTGGATACACTTCTTATACGTGGTTCAAAAACTTGTCAAGGTTAGAAAGAGGTTCAGAGGTTCTAAAATTGTAATGTATGCAGTAGAGAAAATCATCCATAAGGTCACAGAATAGTCGGCCTCTGGAGTCATGATGAAGTCTCAAAAACTCTTTCAGCTTGGACCTCATAGTTTCAATATTGTTTATGTGCACTTCGGTTGTTGAGTACACAAAATGCTACTTGTGGATAACAACACGATGCACATAACCAAGCCTATGTAGGAATCTGTACGCTCTCCAAACATCCAAATATATTGTAGTACCTGGCTGCAGCCAGTGTTAATGGTGCGTTTATTATCCGATTCTCGATAATTGTCAAAACTTGCCTTAGTTAGGAATTATATATGGGGTTTTCATCACGAACTGACACCAGCTATAACACCAGAAATTTATTTAGACGAATGCATGAAAGGCTTTCGCGTTAAAATCCGAGATCTGTTATCGTATACCAGATTGATTCGTTCAAAAATTATAGTCTCGCCGTCTTATTTGTTATAGCCGCTCAGTTATCACGTTTTGCACAAAATTCCTTGTGAACCGAACGTACGTTAGCATTGAGCACTGAAGCTGACGCTGTAACCTTGAAACCCCTAAAACGCTTCTGATTGGCTCGTCCATAAATTAGAGTTTCGCCCAATTTTTTACCCAATTCATTTCAAAGTACTGAATTGATTTCTATTATTAAAATTGATATTTGACCATTAAAGTGAACTTATTGTCCATTAGAGTAGTTGTATATCTAATTTCAATTCGTTACATTACAGAGCAGACAACGTGATACTATAAACTTTAATAAACTGTCCGATTTCTTAATTTTTTTATATATATGACGAGAACCTAATGTAAATCTCTCATTGTATAAATCCATGACTATAGGAATTCTTCTTCTAATAAATAACATTGAGTATCTTTATCTAAACAAGTCAGATATATTGAGAAAATTGGCTATATTTTTCAATATGAGTATCATCAATTAACACAATACACATTTTATGATTGTTCCAAATGAATTTTAACAAAAGGTTCGATGATAATTGAGTAAATATTGTGATGAGTTTTTATACTTGACAGAAATGTGTACATAAAGTGTCATATTGATTAGATAGAACCCCAAAAACATCAACCTTTTATGGTAACGTAGATGCGACATAAATAAAAAAATACGTTGCCACAGAAAACAAGCTTTGTTAAATGAGAAATATTCACCACTAGAATATAACTACAGTGGCTAGCATTGAATGTTTTACACTGTGGTTGTTCACTACGTTTTTGTTCCATATAAACTAAGAATTGATTTCAATGGGGAACCTTCAGTATACTGAGTCAAGAATCAGATATTTGAGCTAGATAATAATGAGTTGTGACTAAATTTACTTTGAACCCTCTTACAAATAATATTTCGATTCAACAGCTTGTTTATTTTTAAAAAAAATATTTCTGGTGGCCCTTTATCTGACTCCAGTTAAATCATGTGATTGATTGTTATTGAAATATATATGTCTCAAATCCTCTTATATAATCATCAACTTAAATCAAATAAGTTCAATACGACAATGGATGTCTGATTATGTATATTCTGCACACTCATTCATCTGGACAGAGGATCAGAGGTACGAAGCAAAGAGATGAGAGCGAAGCGAAATGACTCACAGTGGTGTGTTAGCCAACTCGATGTAATTAAGCGTTAATCGATATTTATAGTCAGAACAAAAATAAGTTACAGACATGTTATGAGTAAGATAAGAAGTGCACACACATACATCCATATAAAATAGTCAAAGTTGATAAGTGAATAATTAACCAAGTCAAAATGTAACTCACAAAGAATGAGTAGATTAGACTGTGAGATGGTGGAAAAGATTTGCAGCTCAGGTGGATGATTTTGATGGAGTTTTGTTCTCTAAACTGGATGGTTTGGTTGTGAAGCTTCATCGTTCTTCTGAAAGACATCATCAGCACAAACTTCAGATAGATGATGTCGTTCAGAAGAACGATAAAAGCCTCACGACCAAATCATCCAGTTCAGAGAACAAAACCCCATCAAGATTAGACTATTCACAAGCTAGAATAAGCTGTATGAGCTTAACTTAACAACCAACACTATATGCTCTTGTAATAATGAAGAAAAAATTATATTAAACTTTTATATTATTTAATTTCAGATACTGGACTTATCTAACAAGTGTGTTATGGAAATATGAAATTTAACAACAATTCAAAAAGACAACCATACCGTAATATACCATATTCACATACGAATTGAACGACTTATCTTACCACATTTGTAAATTCTATCAGATTATAATGAATATTACTGAACATACTGAAGATGTATTAAATCCTTTTATTTTAAATTTATTTATAATCAATAAAAGTTCAACATGTACTCAAATGGAATCATTACCAGTTTCCGGTTTGTTCAGTTTTTATCGTGCTATAGGTTTATTATTAGGTCCATTAAATACTATATTAAATGGTTTATGCGTTCATATATTTAATCATCATTTATGGAAAAAATCAATAATGAGTAGAATATTAAAAGGATTATCTATTATTGAACTTGGTATGGGATTAAGTTTATTTATTCATGCATTAATATTTTCACAAAATTCCACATCATCTTATTCTAATCAAAATTTATTCAATATAAATAATACAACTAATAGTATATATCCTAATTATGATATACATATAAATCATTTAAATCAATTTCAACATGATTCTATTCATACAAATGCTTATATTAAAACAATATGCTCATTTTTTATTACAACTATATCTAGTAGATTTTTAGTAGCATTTCAAATATCACGTAATTGGTCTGTTGTATTATTGGCAGCATATCGTTATGATCAAATATGTCGACCTATTGGTACATCTAGTGCATTTCCACGTGAACGTATACGTTATATATTAATCATTATATTTTTTTTAGCTTGTTTAATTGTTATACCAAGAATATTTGAAAGTGGTATAGTTGTATGTTATATATCAGGAAATGTATCTAAAGATTATCCTTTATTAATTAATTATAAATTATATCAAATTTTATATTTAGGTTTAGTTATGTTTATTGTACAATCTGGTGGTCCAGTTATATGTGTATGTGTATTAAGTGCATTTGTTATAAGAATTATAGCAAAACGTCGAAAATTTCATCGAGAAAAAGAGCAACGTTCAGCTAGAAATTTATTAAGACGTCAAACAATGGAAATAGAAAATAATCAATCAAATTTAAAAAACAACACTAACAATAATAATACTAATTTTTTACAACGTAATTCAAATGGTTTAACAAAAGAATTAACTGAAAGACCAGCTCCATCAGGTGATAAATTAATGTTTGCTGTTTGTATAACATTTTTTATTTTAGAAACTCCAGCATTTTTCAGTAAAATATTAAATCCTTATTTGGAACAAGATTATCCATTAATTGATTTAACATTATCAGTTATTGCAAATTTATTAATTTATTTAGATTCTACATTGAATGCATTCATTTATATGGCATCTAATCCTTTATTTCGTAAAATTGCTCGAAATGAATGTATACAATATCGTAATCGTTTAATTTGTTGTCAAACATCAAAATCTACTCATCAACTAACTAGAATAAGTCGTATTTTAGACACTGAACCAAATACTATCTCAATAAACTCATGAAAATACATCATACAACAATATATTATATGATGATTTGAGTCATGATGGTAATTGTATATGGATACATATTGTACAAATTTTGTTCTTGTAATTCTTTATGTCTTTTGTATTTTCAATTATTTATGATTTCAGAGGTTTCTATTACTATGTGAAAAATGCTTTATGTTATAAAGATGAATATTATTATTATTATTTCTTTCATTTAAACATGAAAGTAAATCTATTATCTATATGGGTTATTATTTCAACTTTTATGTATTTCATAAAGAAGAATTGTCATTTAAACTATATTTTTAACGGTTTGAATTGTGTTCTACTAATTGAATCCTAAAACGAATGAGTTTTATAACTAACAAATAACTTAGTATATCTTTCTATTGAGTTAACATTAGAAACACTAAAGAATGTCTTTTATTTCCATAAATACGTATACAATTGTTAATTACAATCACAGTATATAAAAATTCAAGATTTGTTGTTGTTGTTGTTGATTACTTCGATCTCAGGTAAACATAAAATTAAACAATTCAAGAATTCCTTATATCTTTCCATCTTCATGAGCTGTGTACTAAATAAATAGCTTAAATTATGCTTTTTTGAGGTGTGAACATGTATAGAAGCGGTTTCATTGTTAAAAAATTGGCTTAATCGCTATTTAAGTTTATCATTTACAGTAGTATAAATCCATATGCCTTTGTATCAATCCAAAAATATAATTGGATCTTTGTTACGAGATAGTTATTGTCACGGCTGAAAACGTCCGAATTATCAGATAGAAGGGGATTGAAGAAGAGTGTAAAGCAAATTGAAATATTTATGGTTCTATCAAGTGATAATTAGAATTTGTTAAATGATTAATCAATTATTAAAAAATTCTAAGCTCTTTTTGAAAAAAAACATACCTTGACAGATTTACTGAAAACACCAAACATCTAAAACGATTTACTTTGAAAGTGAATGCTTAGGCAATTCACGAATCATAAATGGTTTGTACTGTGAGAATAAGTGTCAATTAAATTCATATAAATATGTAATCAATGTTGTAGAATACTTCTGAACACTTAACGTTATACTATCTACCATTGTAAATAGTAACTAGTATCTACGTTATAGTGTCGTAGAAAACTGTTATGAAATGTTTAACGCATTTTAAATTATACCTGTTGATTTTTGATTTATCTACCCCAAGTGTAGCAAAAGTCTCACACCAAGTTTCCCAAATCAATAGTGTACTGGGCTCTTCTTTACAGTTCTTCCCAAGAGTTATTTATTCTTTCCATGTCTGTCTTCGGTTCCTTGTTTAATGTATTCTATGGTCTGCCTTCCTATATTCTCCCTTAAGGATTTCAAGTTAGAGCTCGCTTTGTGATGTAATTTGATGGTTTCTGTAGTATATGTCCTATACACATTCAGTATTTCTTCCTAATTTCCTCCTAAATGGAAGGTGGTTTATTTTGTCCCACAGTAGGTTGTTGCTGATAGTGTCTGATCAACGTATACAGAGTATCTTACGTAGATAGCTATTTGCTAATAACTAACTTTTTGATGATTATAGTCATCCACCAAGCTTCAGCTTTGTACGACAGAACATTCTCGACGTTTATAATAAAATTCTGACTTTGGTGTTGACTGACAGTTATTTTGAATTTTAGTTAATTTTCAACTGTAGAAACGTTGAGTTGACAAAGCAAGGTCAACAATTCACTTCAAAACACGTATGACAATTATTCTTAAATGTTTTACAAGTGCTGTATAAAAAACAAACATGAAAAGTTTTCTTTATGATTTATTCAGTTTATTCTACATTTCCATATTTGAGCCACAATTGAAATGTATGGATATGTATTACCTGACATATATCATTGATTATCATTATGAGCAGTCTGACAAATTACTTATGACAACCTTAAAAACAGCATATCATAGAATGCCTGAAATAGTTTATCAAATTAGTTGTTTATAAATAATCAAAACAATGATACATAAACAATGCTTTTTATTAATGACTGATTCTGATACTGCTAAACGTATTATGAATATATTATGCGTTAAATTAAATTATTTTTTTGTCTGTCTATTGAATGAAGCATATTAACATATTTATGCTTGAGCAATCAAGAACATAATATATCATATTACTTTATCAATAACCACTTTGTCATATTTTAAGTGTTTTAGAAAAATTATTACATTAAAGGTAATAAAACAATGTAAAGTGTCACATGTTACTAATAACCCAACATCAAGTTAACAATCTAAATTATTATACACTAAGCTAATAGTTAGTAAACCAAATACTTTCCGTAAAGACTGAAAGTTCGATATCTAGTACACTTTAATGGGCATGTAACAGAGGAATATTAAACTTGAACAATATAACTATCTAATCCTAAATGATTTTTAAAGTTGTATGAATAAAATTAGTCTGTGGTATAAAATATATCAAAACCAATTCATCATCTAGACTAATAACCCTATCTTAATATTTTGTATATCTTCATAACATGTTACCTAGTGATTCACAATTCAAATGGTTTTAAACATAATATAAACTTTCAAAATGATCAGACATGTTAAAAAAGAACCCATGTAGTATTGATATCTTCGTAGTTTTTAAAAAAAATCAAATCTACATAGAGACTGAAGCTTAATAGTAACTGGCCAATTCAGAAATTGTATTTATTTTACAGTATAAATGAAACTTTGCACGCCCACCCGCATGCACGCACACACATACACACAGACACAAAAAATAAGAATCACATCTAACAATCTACTCATTTATTTACATTCAGTAGGAATCTTTTTAAAATTTTGACCGGATATAATTTGATTCAATTTTTTTCTTGTTCATCAATATTTTTTTCATTGAAATTTAACTAAATCAAAAAAAAACACAACTAAAACAACCATTTAAACAAATTAATTCAAAACAAAAAAGAAAAAATTCGACTTTTCTTTTTTTTCTTTTTTCTTTTTGTAAATCAACATTTTATGTAATTTTCTTTATTAACCAAAAATAAAAATTCTTTTTATTACTATAATTATTGAGGATTTATTAAATTTATTTACGCTCAATTAACATAAAAATATCCTTTTCTTTTTCATAATATTTAATTGTAACAATAAGAAAAATGAATTGACCAGTAGAAAAATTTAAATTTTATTCATTTGAAAGGAAAAAAAAAGAGAAAAAACATAAAAAAAGAAGAAAAACATTCAAGAAACAAATAAACTAGAGAAAAATCTTTTTTCTTTTTTTTTCTTTTCTATTTTTTCATTATCAATTATTGTACAATAGTATTTAGATAAAAATGAATATGTATTGAATATACTTTATATATAATAATTTACATGATTATAATGAGTAAATTTATGATTTAACCAAATTATATTAATGGATAAAATAGATTAGAAGATTATTCATTAAAATAGTTTGAAAATTAAATAAAATGTGTAAGAAATTAATGATGGAATTAATGTATAATATATGCAATTCATTATGATAAATGAATTTGATTGTAAATGGAAATGAGAATTATTTTAAAGAAATCTTTAATATGTTTTATTAATCATGCTAAACCAGGTCTGTTATGAGATATCAACTCACTGAAGACAATGGTATACGGTGGCGCAACTTCTTTTATTGGTTGAAGTTAAATATTAATACCGTTGGATTCCGGCTCAATGGTCTAGTCGTTAAGTGCTCGCGCATGAGACCAATTGGTCCTAAGTCTGAATCTCGCAAGTCGGGATCGTGTATACACACTGCTAAGGAATCTCACAATAGAACAAAATGCCCATCCAGTGCTTTCAAGTTTCCTATGGTGGTCTGACTTCAGTTGACTCATTGTCTCAACAATTGAATGTAGTACACATTAAGATTTGTATTTCAATCATCTTCATTATAGACAGAAGTGTATATCATTATGACATACTGAGATAACACCTTACTTTCTTGCATGAAAACTTTAAAGATATATAATTTTACTCCTTATAAAAAAATTATCGATGAAAATCAATAAAAATACCTATAGACTGAATATAATTTAAATGTTTAATTTTTCATTCTATAAAGTTATCTTTCTACTTTATATCAATTTCTAAGAATAATTAGCTCATTTAAATATTCTATTCAAATGAAATAATCTTAAGTCAGTGACAAAACCATATGACCTGTTTGTTTGTTTTTTAATGTAACTAAATGTTTTCATAACTCTGCCTGGAGTCCCTTCGAAGGCTACTGCCGGTCCCAAGCCCGGATAAAGGTAAAGGGTTGGACATGGGGTTAGTGACCCTCATTCTGTGGAAACTAACTTACTAAAAAAACGCTAACCAGAAAACTTTTTTTCAAAATGTTTTCATATAAACAGACTTTTAAAAAAAGTATTTAATAGTAAGCGATTGTTTCATTCTTGCAAAGCAAAGTAATTTTTCTTCAATTATATATACATTTTCTACATTGTCATCTAGAAGAAAATTGAAAATTTACCAAAAAAAGAAACAACAAATAAAACAAACTTTTATGAAATTAAAATATTTTTATAATTTTAAAGTGAATTTTGGTTAATAGTAACTATCGTGACTAGTTAAAATGTCATAATTAATATATTGATCATTTGTCTATAAAAATGATTAATTAAGGTGAATATTATGAATACCATTTTATTTAGTTTATCCTGACTCAATTTAATGGTGTTTTTTTCCTTGAGATTATGATAGATTGAAAGGAACAAAGTAGAAGAACAAGAAGAAGAAGAAGGAGAGGAAGAAAGAATAAATTAGTATTATGTAAATTCTAACAGTTTTAACTTTAATGTAACAATGTTTTTAAAAAGATGAAAAGCATTTAAATAATAAAGCGAACTTCCTAGAACAACAACAACAACAAAATATTATTGGTTTAACCTAAACTATAGCCAAATAGAATTAAATATAAATTTAAATTACAGTTATGAATTGTAACATTTTATTGACGTTAAAATGTATATAACCCAGTT